AGAAAGGGAGGTCGATCAGACGGCGGTCAGGCGCGATTCAATGCTATTCCAGCCAGACCATATGTTGTTGCTTCGAATGCAGTGATCAAAGTTATTGTTGCAGTATGCCATAGGGACGCTTCTGTACTATTTTACCTTGGTTCTGCTTATTTATATGTATCATCGTATTTTCCCATTATCTGGATATGCCCCGTGAGTCCTTCGTTTCATCTGTTCATGTATCCATGCTAATGGGCGATAGTATTATTGTGGATCGTGTATATCAGTTGTGTGTAGTGAGTATTGGGGGATTGGACACTAGAGTTGATCTCTTGTTGCTTAGTATAGTTGATTTCGATGTGATCTTGGGTATGGATTGGTTATCTCCATGTCATGCTATGCTAGATTGACACGCTAAGACCGTGACGCTGGTGATGCCGGGGTTGCCAACGATCGAGTGGAGAGGTTTTCTAGGCTATGTTCCCAGTAGAGTGATTACATATTTGAAGGCCCAACGGATTGTTGGGAAGGGATGTCTGTCTTATTTGGCCTTTGTGAGGGATATTGGTGCTAATACTCCTACTATTAATTCTGTTCCGGTGGAGCGAGATTTTTCGGATATATTTCCTGCAGACCTGCGGAGCATGCCGCCCTACAAGGATATTGACTTTGGTATTGAATTGGTGCCGGGTACTCATCCCATTTTTATTCCTTCGTATCATATGGCGCCAGCTAAGTTAGAGGATTTCAAAGAGCGGCTTCAGGATCTTCTTGATAAGGGGTGTATTAGGCTTAGTGTGTCGCCTAGGGGTGCACCGGTTATGTTTGTGAAGAAAAAGGATGGTACCATGCATAGGAGCATCGTCTATAGGCAGTTGAAAATGTCACAATCAAGAACAAGTATCCTTTGATGTGCATTGATGATCTATTTGACCAGATTCAGGGAGCGAGAGTGTTCTCTAAGATTGATTTGATGTCTGGGTTTCACCAGTTGAAGATTCGGGACTCGAATATTCTAAGAACGGCATTCACGCCCCGTTATGGTCAATATGAGTTTCTTGTGATATCTTTTGGGCTGACCAACGCCCCAGCATCATTCATGCATCTGATGAACAATGTATTTCAGCCTTATCTCAACTCGGTTGTCATAGTATTCATTAACGATATCCTGGTGTACTCGTAGCCAGTAGGAGCATGCCTAGCATTTGAGGATTGTGTTGCAGCGGCTGAGGGAGGAGAAACTTTATGCCAGGTTATCCAAGTTTGAGTTTTAGCTTAGTTCTGTGGCGTTCTTGGGGCACGTGGTGTCCAGCGAAGGGATTCAGGTGGATCCAAAAAAGATAGAGGTAATTTAGAGTTGGCCTAGACTATCCTCAGCTACGGAGATTCGGAGCTTTCTTGGTTTAGCCGGTTATTATCGTTGCTTCACGGAGGGTTTCTCGTCTATTGCATCACCCTTGACCAAATTGACCCATAAGAGTGCTCCTTTGAGGTGATCGGATGAGCGTCAGGAGAGCATTCACAAGCTAAAGACTGCCTTGACCACACCTCCAGTTCTAGTTTTCCTTCAGCTTCAGGCTCTTATACATTGTATTGTGATGCTTCTTGGATTGGTATTAGGTGTGTCTTGATGCAGGAGGAAAGAGTGATTTCTTATGCTTCGCGCCAGTTGAAGCCCCATAAGAAGAACTACCATGTCCATGATTTGGAGTTGGCTTCCATTGTTCATGCATTGATGATTTGGAGGCACTCTCTCTTTGGTGTGTCTTGTGAGGTATTTACAGATCATCGAAGTCTCCAGCACTCGTTCAAGCAAAAGGATCTAAATTTGAGGCAGCAGAGATGGTTGGAGCTGCAAAAGGACTATGATATTTCTATTCTATATCACCTTAGGAAAGCCAATATAGTGGACGATGCCTTGAGTAGAAAGTCTGTGAGTATGGGTATCCATGCATTCATTCCTGTTGTGAGAGACTGCTTGTAGTTGATTTCAGGCCTTAGCTAACTAGTTCGTGAGATTAGAAGTTACGGAGCCTAGTCGGGTTCTGGCGTGTGTGGTTTCTCGATCTTCCTTATTTGATCGCATCAGAGAGTGCCAGTATGATGATCTTCATTTGCTTGTCCTTAAGGAAACGATTCATCACGGTGATGTCGCATATGTTACTATTGGGATGATGGGGTGTTGAGGATGCAGGGCCGAATATGTGTGACTAATGTAGATGGGCTACGTGAGTTGATTCTTGAGGAGGCCCACAGTTCGCGTTATTCCATTCATCAAGGTGTCGCGAAGATGTACCATGACTTGAGGTAGCATTATTGGTGGAGGATAATGAAGAAGGATATAGTGGGATTTGTAGCTCAGGGCCTTAATTGTCAGCAGGTAAAGTATGAGCATTAGAGACCAGGTGGATTGCTTCACAGGCTAGAGATTCCATAGTAGAAATGGGATCAGATCACTATGAATTTTGAAGTTGGGCTCCCGCAGACTTTGAGGAAGTTTGATTCTATTTGGGTGATTGTGGATCGGCTGACCAAGTCCGCATACTTCATTCCAGTTGGGACTACTTATTCTTCAGAGCGGTTGGCTGAGATTTACATCCGCGAGATTGTCCGCCTTCACAGTGTGCCGGTGTGCATCATTTGAGATGTTGGAGGACATGATACATGCTTGGGTCATTAATTTCGGGAGTTCACGGGATCATTTTCTGCCGCTCGAGGAGTTTTCCTACAACAACAGCTACCAATCGAGCATTCAGATGGCTCTATATGAAGCTTTTTATTGGAGACGGTGTCGATCTTTGGTGGGTTGGTTTGAGCCGGGTGAGCCTAGGCTATTGGGTACTGAATTGGTTCGGGATGCTTTGGACAAGGTCAAATTGATTCACGATCGGCTTTGCATGGCGCATTCTAAACAGAAGAGTTACGCCAAAAGGAAGGTTCGTGATGTTGTTTTCATGGTTGGGGAGAAGTTACTGGTCAAAGTTTCACCCATGAAGGGTGTTATAAGGTTTGGAAAGAAGGGAAAATTGAGCCCTCTGTAGATTGGGCTGTTTGAGGTGCTTTAGAGGATTGGAGAAATGTCTTACAAGCTTCCTTGCCACCTAGCTTGTCGAGTGTTCATCCAATGTTTCACGTTTCTATGCTCTAGAAGTATGTCGGTGACCCATCTCATGTGTTAGATTTCAGCATGATTCAGTTGGATGGTGATTTGACTTATGATGTGGAGCCGGTGGCCATTTCGGGTAGGCAGGTTCGAAAATTAAGGTCAAAGGATATAGCTTCAGTGAAGGTGCAGTGGAGAGGTCATCCAGTGGAGGAGGTCACTTGGGAGACTGAGCGGAGATGCAGAGCAGATATCCATACCTATTTGAGACTCCAGGTACATTTCTAGACCCGTTCGAGGACGAACGTTTGTTTTAGAGGGGGAGGATGTAACGATCCAACTGGTTATTTCAAGAGTTGTAACCTCGTTCCCCCATTTACTACTTATTTTATGCGTTATAGTTGTTATATGACTTGCCGGGGTAGTTGGTTTGGGTCCGGAGAGGTTTCAAAATGAACTAAGACACTAGTCTCAAGGTTGAAATCTTACGTTAAAATGGTTGACCGAAATGGTTGACTAGATGTTGACTTATGTGTAAACGACTCCGAAATGGAGTTTTGATTGTTCTGTTAGCTCCGACGTCTGATTTTGGACTAAGGAGTGTGTTCAGATTATGATTTGGAGGTCCATAGTGGAATTAAGACTGAAATGGCAAAAAGTTGGAAATTTGGAAGTTGACCGAGAATTGACTTTGAGGTTACCGATCTCAGATTAGGGTTTCGGGAGTTGGAGTAGGTCCATGGCATCATTTGTGACTTGTGTGCAAAATTGGAGGTCAATCGGACGTTATTTGATTGGTTTCGGCATCATTTGAAAAGTTGGAATTTCTTTAGTTTCATAGGTTTAAATTGGGGTGCGATTCTTGGTTTTGGCATTGTGTGATGTGATTTAAAGGCTCGACTAAGTTCGTGTCATGTTGTATGACTCTTTGGTGTATTTAGTTGAGGTTTTGAGGGCCACGAGTGAAGTTCGGGTGGTCAACGGATCAAAAGTTGAGTTTAAGAGGTTGTTGTAGTTGAAGCCTTCTGGTGCAATCGCACCTGCGGAGGTTTGGTCGCAGGTGCAAGCTAGGAAGCGCAGAAGTGAAGTTTGGATTGGGTGTTGTGGAGCGCGGATGTAGAAGGAATTCCACAAGTGCGTACTTGCACTTGCGCGTGGAGGATCGCAAAAGCGGAAAAAGACTTGGGAAGGCTGGTCCGCAGAAGCGGATTCTTTGCGGAGATGCGCGCCCGCGGAATTGAATTTCTGACCGCAGAAGTGGTTAGATGGCATTAGTGGCTTCCGCAGATGCAGATGATTGACTGCAAAAGTTGTACCGTAGAAGCAAATGTCGGACTGCAGAAGCGAGAAAACCTGGGCAGAATATTTAAAACGAGGGTTCCGAGATTTGCACCATTTTAATCATTTCAGGCTCAGGATTGGGCGATTTTTAGAGGATTTTTGAGGGGTTTCTTGAGTCAAATTACTTGTACTCATTTTTATTCGATAATATTGTTTCCCTATTGAATTCCCCACCTAGATTTTGTGATTTTGAGGTGTAATTTAGGAGTTTGAGGCTAGGGATTTTGAGAGTTTTAATTTGGGGATTTTTTTAAGCAAATATATTCCTAGGCAGGTTGCCCAGTGATGTTTTTTATCAATAAAATTAAAACTAATACAAAAAATAATATGTGTCAGGAGGTCTCACACAATGAAAGCTAGTAAAGGAGAAAATATATACAACCTATTATCAAAGTGTTGTACAAAACAATCACTTGATAGTACATAGTGAACTAAATACCCTAAACAAACTTGAAGCCATGTTAAGCTGGCCTTCTTCTTTGTTGCACACATTAGGATATTTGTGCTTCAAATATTGATCTTCGAACAACTTCAACTGATGCCTAGTAACACTTTTTTAGCTTGATAGTGACTGTCTTTAATAAATAATCCACGCGAATTCATCGATAGCATGCTTCCCAACCTCAAAAACATAGGCAGCTGCGGTGCTTTGCCACCAATATACGCCATCATACCTGGACCAATTTAAGACAAGCTTACCATTCCATGTACCATTCTCCATCACCTCACCAACAAATTTATAAGGTTCATCACACCAATGATCAGGACCTGATGCATGATAAAGACGTCCCAATCCAGTCCAATTATCAAACAAAAACCAGGAATTACCACTCTTCAACTGCCACCATATTTGATGTTCCACTTCATCTCTCATTTGAAGCATTTTTCTCCACATATGAGAACCCCTTCTCCATGGCACAATCACTTCATTGATCTTCATGCAATACTTAGTTCTCATAAAAGCACTCCATAGAGAATCCGTTGCTCTAAAGTTCCACCACAGTTTCACAAACAAAGCTTTGGAAATATCATGCATTGATCTAAAACCAAGTCCTCCTTCATATTTAGGCAAACACAATGTACCCCAAGAAGCCCAATGTTTTACCCTTCCATTACCTGAATTGCCCAAAAGAACCTAGAAAATATTTTGTGTAGTTGTTTGATCACATATGCTGGAGGATTCACTGCTGAGAGGAGGTAAATTGGCATGCTCTCTAGCACATGTGTAATCAATACTGCCCTACCCCTTATTGACAAAAGCTTACCTTTCCATGCTGATTGTCTCTCCTGCACTTTGAAGAGAGTGTTTTTGTAGAACTCCTTCTGCCTTGTACTATAAAAGATTGGACATCCTAGATAGGTAAATGGTAATGAATGTCTCTGAAATTCTGCGATCAAATGTACTGAATTCACTTTCTACTGGTGCTTTTTCATGCATATAGAAGGAAGATTTTTGCTTGTTTATTTTCTGCCCAGAAGCTGCTTCATATTCCCCCAAAACATTCATGACAAGTTGGACTGCTCCATAATGAGAAGAACAAAAGATGATTGTGTCATCTGCATTGGATAGGTAATTGATATTGTGACTCCACTTTGGCATGCCAATTCCTATAAAATTCAGATTATCGAATAAAGCATCTAAAGCTCTCCCAAGCACATGTGCTGCCAGTATGAATAATGTAGGAGATAAAGGATCTCCTTGCTTGACTCCTCTTCTAGATTTGAAAAAGCCATTAGCATGCCCATTCAATAACATTGAATACCAATTGTTAGAGACTAGTCTAAATACCATGTCAATGAAGATTTCTCCAAACCGCATCTACCTCAACACCTTAGTCAAGAATAACCATGATACTCTATAATAAGCCTTTGCCATGTCTAGTTTAATGACACATTGGTTGGCTTTTCCCTCAACCTTATATTAGTTATTATCTCTTGAGTAAGTAGGATATTTTCCACAATACTTCTGCCCTTCACAAAACCAGCCTGATTAGGAGAAATAAGAGTAGGAAGCAGTTCTACTAAACTCTCATGAACAACTATAGAGATGATCTTATTTAAAAGTTGCTCAAGTTGATTGGTCCCATATCTGAAATGTTGCCACATTATTCTTCTTTGGAAGCAAGAGAAGGTTTGTATGGATGATGAATTTATGTAATTCTGCTCCACAAAAGAAAGATCTCACCATTTGAAGCACATCTTCTCCAATGATCTCCCAGCTAGCTTGATAAAAGTGTCCTGTGAATCCATCTGGACCACTAGCACTATCTCCATTTAATCCAAAAACTGCTGCCTTTACCTCCTCCATAGTTGGTTCTTTCCACAATAAATCATTTTGTTCATTAGACACCATCTTAGGGACATGCTGAATAATGTCAAAATTGGTTGGAAGTCCTTCTTCAGTGAATTGATTTTTAAAAAACTCCACTGCCTCCCTTTCCATATCTTCTTGAGAGTCAAGCCAATTCCCATTATTATCTAGGATTCAGGATATTTGAAGTCTTTTCCTCTTTCCCCTTACATGAGCATGAAAGAATTATGTATTTCTGTCTCCATCTTGAAACTATTGCATCACGGCTTTTGCCTCCAAAATTCTTCTTCCAAGTGATAGAATCTTGTAAGGCCTGCATCAACCTTATGTAATATTGCTCTATTCTGGACAGTTGGATTCAACTCAAACTCAATCTCATGAAAATTTATGACATCTTCCAATGATGAAATTTGTATGAAAATGTCTCCAAATGTTTCTTTACTCCACACTGCCAAAGCTGATTTTACCTTCTTCATCTTGCTTTGAAATATAATGAAAGGATTCCCCATTGTATCTGTTGATACCCAATTTTTCCCTCATAAATTTTAAAATATGCATGCAGACATTCAAAATATTTTACATGCATTTACAAACATGCACAAGTGTTTTAAAATTTTTCTACAATTTTAAAGGCCCTAAATCCATTTATCTCTATATTTTTTAATCGCATAAAAGTTCAAAACTATCCCTCATATTATTTTATGATGATTTAATCACCTAAATTCATCATTTATGTTCATATGAGTGTTCAAATATTTTAATTGCATCTTTTATAATTACATTTGCATTTCAAGAGACTATAATTGCATATTTTGCAAAAATAGCCCCTACATATGCATAACTACGTTATCTTTATAAAAAATGGCTTTTTATACTTTTATAATATTAAGAAATTATTTTAAATCACCTTCATGCATGAAAATCATTTTTTAACATTTAGTTATCTATTTTTAAATTATTTTATTTAGTAAAAATGGGTATTTAACAAATAGCCCCTAATTTACACCCAAAATCGGATCTCCCCCAATCCAATTTAATTAAACACAAGCCCAATTCAAATTAAACCTAACCCAATTAAATCCAACCCGACCCAAACCCCTTCTTATCCTGGCCGTTGATCTCATCAACGGCCCCCATTCCTTCTTTGCTTTTATTCTAAACGACCCCCCTAACCTTAGTCATTTGTTACACCCCGCCGCCCTTGTATCCCTCATCTCCTTTCTTGTCTCTGAGACTAACCTTAACCCTAGCACTATCACCTTAATCTACCCCAAATCACTTCGATTCCTACCCATTCCATGAGGTTCCCCGGTGGTTTGAGGCCCCTACCGGCCTGTTACATCTTCTAGTTGTTCGACTTTGTCGATTTATGAGAGAATCTCGAAGAGATTCAACCAAGGTTCGTCGAAATTTGACTCACAGGCCAGTCTTATGGCAATCTCCATTTGTGAGTACTATTATCTCGTGTTTATGGCTCGAATCTCTGGTTCCAAATCAGATTTTCTTTTATCTTTGTCACTCTCTCAAAACCCTCATCTATCATGCTTTGTATATGTTCAGATCCTTGTAGATCTAAAATCGTAGACTGATTTTAATGCTCCTCCAAATTAGGGTTTTGATTCTTTATTATTTGTTATAGATTTGAAGTGGTTTCGAGTTTCTATAGCATTTTTCTTTAAAGGTTTTCTGCTTTCCTTAACGTTAATCGATCCTAAATGTTTGATCTAAAATAGGGCTCAACTTCTTCTTGTTTCTGCAAAAACATTCCTAAGAGTTTCTAAGTATTTGAAGCTGGTTATCTTTACTCTTATGTTTTAGTCCTTGCTTGTTTATTTGTCTCACTGTCCACTTCAATTTTTTCGTTATTGTTTATCTCTGTCAATCAAAATGGATTGACTGATTTACTTAGGGCTCGAATCATATTTTCCTATTAAAATTAGTACTTCCCCGTGATTTTACCTATTTTTCTTATTTATTATCTTTAATTGGTACTACTTGCCTTCTTTAGATTAATTAGTCTAATCTATGGTCTCTAGACTTTTTGCTTACCTTATTTAACTTCAATCATGCCTGCTAACTGATTTCGTATGAGATTCTCCCTATTTTATGTGATATTAATTGATTAGATTTAGCCCTAATTGACTGGTTAATTGATTTGGATACTTTATTTACATTCTGTTAATTTTCCTTGCCTTATTCGATATACTCTACTCTATGCTATATAAGTTTCATTCTTTTCTTTAACACACACGACCATGGTTCAACACACACACACAGACATAGAAAATATAAAAAGTTCTTGCTCTCTTCCTCTATCACAATCTTCTACTCTCTGTTGTTACATTGTCTAGCCGGTTGGGAGCCAAGGCTAGACCTTCAGACCCTGTTTGCTTTACTCTCCTATTGCTATCTCTTGACTGGTATGCTTCCACTACTGCCATTCAATTAAACCAATGTGTGTTTCCTTATAAGTAGCATGTCTTTCTTCTGAACCTATATGTTTTTTCCTGCCCAGCATGTTTACTGCTATTTGATTTAACTATATGCCCTGTTATCAGCATGTTTACTGCTATTCAATTAAACTTTATGTTTCCTGCTATTCAATTTGACCTATGTGTTTACTGCAATAGCATGTCTACTCCTGTTTAACCTATGTGTTTACTGTAATGGCATGTCTACTTCTGTTTAACCTATGTGTTTACTGCAATAACATGTCTATTCCTATTTGGTTAAACCTACGAGTGTTCTGTTTTCAACCTGTTTACTTCTGTTTCTGCTAGACCTATGTGCTTCTGGTTTCATCAAGTCTGCATGCCTGCTCATATCTGAATTAGACATATGTCTATTCTAGCATGTTCTTTCTATCATGTTCACCTCTCACAGACTCCTGACCAATATGGCTCCCAATCCCTGCTACCCCTTTGAATGTGAATGTCTGATTGATCCTAGCATGCCATGCCTTTATTTAGTGTCTGCTCACCTAGTAAGAGCTAATAAACTAAGTTAAAACTTTAAGTGATCCTGTTTCTATATATTGTTTGATTGCTGGGACCTTTGTTTGAGTCACTAGAACTGAATGACCCTGTTTGCTCCTTACTTCCTGGAGTTCAAAGCTATTTTGTTAAAACTATCTTATGATTTCAAGTCCTACTCTTAGAACACCTAAGGTCCTGCCCCTCCAGTGTGAGCATTGCCTAGGAGTCCATAAGACCCCTTTGAACTTTGACATACTAGGGCTGGCTTTCCAAACATGCTCACAAAAGGGTTGCTTTGAAAAGTTTTTCTGGTGTGAGCATTGCCCGGGGTCCCGGAGGCCTTTGGGAACTTTGATACACCAGGATACCATTGGGTGCACCATAAGGGTATTGGCATGTTCATACTTGGTTGAAGGCCTGATTCTTCAGGTTTACTGTTTGGGCCTATTTATGCTCCCTATAATTCTAGCAGTTTCATTTATATAATTCATTATTTATGTTGGTTTGTAATAATAATTCCTTTGTAAACAGATATTGGGGATATTAGTAAAACTGGGGGGATTCTTATATATATTTTGTTGGGAAAGGGTAGATACTATGCCTATAGGGTTTAAAATCAGTTCCGCATTCTAGATACCATGCCTATAGGTTATTGAAATGTTTGTTTATTTAGATACCATACCTGTAAGTTTGTTGCGATGTTTGCTTAAGCTTAAAATCAGTCTTTGCATGCCAACAAGGTTTAAATCAGTTTTCTGCATGCAAATAAGGTTTTAAACTAATTGCTGCATTTAGATACCATGTATGTATGATTTAAGAACTAATTGCTGCATTTAGATACCATGTCTATAGGATTTTACAACCAATTTCTGCATTTAGATACCATGTGCATAGGATTCTGAAAACTAATTTCTGCCTTTAGCTACCACGTCTATAAGTTTAAAATCAGTTTCTACACCTAGACAGCATGCCTATAGGGCCTAATAAACCAAACTGTCTGCTTAAAATTGTTTGTTGGTTTATTGCACTTCTCATTAATGACTGGATACCATGTTCATAGGACATCACTGATACACGCCTAGGCAAGCGTGTAGGGCGACTAAAATCCTGCAAACTGTAAAATTGTGCTTTTGTTATTTGGAACTGTCTAGATTCAGCAAGCCCTAAAATCAGTAGGGAAACTGATTAGGTCTCTATTGCCTCGCTTTAACACAATGCTGCATATATTCTATTTGTCATGCTCATCTTGATTTCCTGCTCTAGGATCCTTTGAAATATCTGAAATCTTGCTTTTTGAGACGTGCTATTGTCTGCTTGTGTGAGGAGGTAAAAATGAGCCTTTAATTGCCCCTTTATGTGAATGTCCTATTTATTTTTGCTTGTCGTTTAGATTTTCTCTTTTAAGCAGTTTAGGAGAGTCTAGAACTGCCTTAATTAGAGGTCCTAAACACCTCCAGGGCCATAAGGAAGTGACGGGTAGTACACGCATAGAGCACGTTTAATTGGAATCGCTTATATAACCACTAAGGGAAG